TTTTCTAAAACATGATTTAATTTAAAATAAATTTAATAAAAACCTCTTCATTTTTTTGACATTTTGCAGCTAGAATACGCCATCTTTCTAATTCTAATATTTCTTTTTGTTTTTCTCTATATTCTCTCTCTCTATCCCATTGTCTTCTAGCTGCTGCTCGTCTATCTTCTTCCTCCTCTTGATGTTCATATTTCTGAAGAATTAATTCTAGTATTTTTACATCCTGTAAATTATTTAAAAGTAATAAGAGGGAAAATAAATAAATTTAAATACAATAAATTTGACTGTTTGTACCTTGGGTGGTAATCTCATTTTTGTTCCTGGAAAATTTCTTAATTTGGAATGCAACAAAGGTGATGTAATTGGAAGAAATAAAGTCTGGGAACCTCTATAAAAAGGTGATGTTGGAGTAGACCAACTTGCCGGTCGTAAACTTCGAAGGCTAAAATTCCGAGTAAGTGGTCTACCTCTACGTCTGGATGGTGTTTGATGGGTAAGAGTATCAGGAACCATATCATTAATTGTATCATATTCTAAGGGTGCATTTCTTGGTCGTAAAGCATTAAAAGGCTGATCATCTATTTTAATAAGTAATTTTTAAAACAAATCTTAAATTATATATTCAGTTTATTAAATATTTTAAAGTTTTAATAAACTATATATAATAGATTTAAAAATATAAAAGTTTTATGACATGTACAGTGAAAGTTAATAATTTTATTCTGTTTTACCAATTTAAAAATGTATGAAATGATAGTTAAATGATTTTTCACTCCATTTTTAGTTCAATTTATATAAGTTAATATATAAATGTGTCTTAAAAATCTTTTTGATATTCAGCTCCTGGAGAAATGAAAATACAAAAGTAAAATGACCCTGGAATAAATCAGCAATGATACATCTAATAATAAGCATCATCATAATGATTTTGACTTAATTTGTATTTTGACTTCATTAGTTTAAACCACTGAATGAGAGAAATAATTCAAATTGTAAAAATGAAAGTCAAGCTAGTTATGCATTTATGTATTATTACTGTATTTTCATACATGTACAGGCATACCCCGGGTTATGACTATCTTATGACAAAACAAACTGCAGATACGACTGTCATATATTTCTACACCTACCATAATCTGACTTAGCTATCTCTACAGATACAACACTTCATCCATTCCAAGTGTTGCCATCTGTCTGACTTTTGCATTGTGTGTCCAGGTGTCTGAAGACCAAAAATGTCTGGGTTTTAAGAAAATTTGGCAAATTGTCATTAATTAATTATTTTTAAAATTAATGATATAGTGATTATATAACCAAAAAATAGAAACATTCTGATAATTTAATTAGTAAGTCATTTACAATAATGTTTCAGAGTAGGGGTCCAAATACTGGGCCTTAAGGATGGCTTTTATTTAGGGAACAGGTTTTTTTTTAACAAAGCCCAATTTAAGCTCTCCTGTCTTTTAAGAAATGCTTGAGCAAGTAGAAAATATTTTATGGTACCTTGGTAAATTTTAAAATTGAAGGCCACCACAGATTGTCAAATGTGTTTTTGATATCTAGAAATATTAACAAACATCAATCTCCTTTCCTTTGCTATAAAGTGTCACAATTTAACAAGGGCATCCTCTGTAGAACACTGTGGCATGAAACCATATTGGCCATTGTTCAAAAAGTTTCGATAAGGCAAAACTTTCTTTAAGTAAAAAAAATGTATAGAAAATGGCAATTCATGATAAGACCGACCATTCACAATACAACTACTATTTGATGGAACACATTATGTATATAATCTAGGGTACACTTGTTTATACACAAAAATACCATGATAGTATATAACCCACAGAAAACTGCTAGAACAAAAATAAAATCTTTGCATAACCTGCTCCACTGTATGCCCATGCCTATGAGAGCAGCCATTACTCATACACATAGAGTTTATAATTGCAATTTAAAACCTGTCCCATTGCTTAACCCTCTTTCAAATAATAATATCAAATCAAATCATTTAAACACAAATAACCTGCAGGTTATATGCAAAAAATAAAGTAATTCTTGTTTCAAACTTATAAATTCCAATAGACAGAAATGATTAATTTCATTTCTATAGCAAACATAATGCAAAGAACTTTAATGATTAGTTTACTGTAATACACAATTGTTTCAATAAAGTACACATTGTTGTCACAAAATGTATTCCAAATTTTTATACTGTATTTACTCACATATAAGACAAGGTTTTTATTCATTTTTCATTGCTTCAATAACCTAAGTTGTCTTATATGCATGAGCAAAGAATTCTTTTCGTTTTTGCAATAATTTTTGTAAACTGTGTATTCACAATTTTTACCGGATTCTCACCTTCTGGTGTTTAAAAACAAAAGTATTTTATCTAGGTCGTTTGAATCATTCTTGTGTATTATCAGTAAAGATGAATAGCAATAGGAAGTAAAGATGAATAGCAATAGGAAAAGCAAAACTTTTGAATTGAATTCCAAAATTACACGGGAGTCCAATGTAAGTTTTAATTCATTCCCATGTAAAAACAGATGATTATTTGGAAATCAGAATTTGGAGAAACTCATAAGTGTAATCAACGAAGAGTGAATTAAACTGTTAAAAATTGGCAAAAAAGGTTCCCAATAATTGTCCAGCTTTACATGAACAAATTATGTTGTCAATTTTACAAGGTTTATACTTGAAGTTTAAAATGCCAGTAATTTTTGCAGGATAGTGTGTACATTTATGTGCATTTGATGTTTTATTTGTGATTAAACGAAATAAAATAAGAATTGTATTAATAAATCTAATTTTCTTTATTTTGATCTTTAAAGTCACACCTCATCCTATATGTGAGATTGTCTTATATCCAAGTAAATATCAGTGGCGTGCCGTCATTGGAAGCGGTGGATGCACTGCTTTGTATTTTCTAAAAAATAAATATTACATATAAATAAATACATATTAATTTTAATTATATAAAAATAATCTCACAATATTTTATTATAACTGCATTATGTATCTTATTACAAATTTCTATACTACACGAGAAAAAAAATAAGATTGCTATTGTATATTTGAATATTAGTGACAGAGTGAAAGTTCTGTATCGTCAGAATCCAAAAAGCCAGATTCGTGCATATGCTTTACAGAGCACCCAACCTCACCCAGTTTAGCTGGTGGAAGCCACATCCAATTCTATCCAGGACCAGTTCTGGGCTGTTAGCCACTTGCCCGCTAGATATTTGGCCGCCCTCACCCAATTACATGAATCACGAGTAGATTTATAACTTAACCCAACCAATAAGTATTTACTGGTATGGATAGTTCTGTATAGTTGACAGGAGTTTTAAAAAATCCATTAAAATATTTGATATTTTTATTCCGCTCTCTTATCTTATATTACACGGATTTCAATGTTAAACCAGTGATATTACGATTTCATATATCCCATCTATAAGGAGATGTAGAAAAAAAACGAAGCAAATCCTGGAAAAAGGTAAAAAAAAATTAACTATTACTTTAATAGCATCATTTACAATTAAATTTAATGAATGAGAGAGATGCATGAGGTACAGAAAAAGCTCTAGAATTTATTTTCCTTAAATTTACAATTTATGTATCCGTTTGTCATAAAAATTTGTCTTTCCACTTTTTTCCCAAAACTACAAATATTCGAGTACAAAGTAACCGGTTTCGACTTACTTCTACTTAAGTAGTTAAATAATTAAGCGATTAGGGAATTGGGAACATAAACAAAACCCTTATGAAAGAGTCAAAATTTTACTTAAACAAAAGCTTAACCAAACCATCTCTAGCTGAGTACAGTGGAGACTGATTTCTTCATATTATTAATGTAACCAGTTCCATGGAGACTGATTTCTTCATATCATTAATGTAACCAGAAATTTTTCCAGTTCAATGAGAGTGACTGGAAAGTTGTAAATTTTGGAAATTTCCATAGATAACACTTGGTCATAAAACGAATTAGTTAGAAAACAAATGACGGACAATCTATTAAGTTTAACATATTTAGATTTTTACAACTATGGTGAGAAGCGTTTAAAATTTAAAACAACCCTGTCGCGTCCTTTGAGATTTACTAGTGATGCGACAAAAGAGGCATTTGACATTAACCGGTATTGGCACCCTCGGGATTTGGCATGAATGCATGCACTGCAAACCTACCAAGATCATCTCTGATTCCATCCATGAGCCACTGGTAGGGAGCAATTTTAACTAACTTGTAAGTGGATTGTTTTAATATTTAAAAAGTAAAGAACATTTTATGTTATTTTTATGTACGTTTCTTCACAAAACTATACTTAATTATAATTTTCTTTAAAAGTATATTCATACAATTGAATATTTTGTACCAGGTATGTATAATTGTATATCCATCACACATTTTATTTTAACAAGTAAGTTTTTATAATTTTATTTTTAATTTTAGCCCTTGTATTATGGCTAGGACACTGGAAATTTA